GAGAGAGAGAGAGAGAGAGAGAGAGAGAGAGAGAGAGAGAGAGAGAGAGAGAGAGAGAGAGAGAGAGAGATGAGAGATACAAGATTGGCTGTTACGTACCTATGAAGTTGTTGCGCAGTCCACGAAGGAGAAAGACACTATGGACGACTTGGTTGCCGTCCCGGACCACGGGGTCACTGAGCCCCAACTGGTCCAGTTGTTTTATCGTGTCATTCCAGAGGCCCTACGCGGGCATTTCTTTGACAAATCTCAGCAGGCCGGCATGACATACGATGCATTGAGTGGGGAAGTCGTCCTGTATGAGTCGAAGTCTATGCCAGTGACCACTTTCCGGCAAAAGGACTTAGAGAAGGGGAAGAAGTGGAAGAATAGTACCATCTCAGGCCAAGTAAAGACCAAGGATCACATGATCCTGACATTAGAAGAAGGTGGTACCGATGAGGTCCCATATGACCAGATTGAGTGGGGAATTGAAGATGATGGCAGTAGTGTGGGGCAGGGGAGGTCTTACGCTGCTGTCGCGGCCGGAGGGAGGCCGCAAGGAGGAGGAGGTGACCAGGGCCAAAGGGGCCAGGCCATGGGTGGCCAAGAACCGGGCGCACAGGGGGTTGGCGGGCAGGGAAACCGCCAAGCGGGAGGCAGGGGTCAAGGTCCCCCGTCAAATCGCCAGGGTAATCGGTCTCCACAACAAAGAGGTGGAAGGGCACCTCAAGGGGGTTGGCACCCAGGCTTGCCACAGGGCAGACCCTTGGAAGATTTGGGCTTCGACCAGCGCGTATGGCAGGAACGTGTGGACCGGGGTCAGTGCATATTTTGTGGTGACCCGACCCACGTTATCAAATTTTGTCCAAAGTATAGACAGGCCCGTTGGGCTGCTCGGCAGTCAAAAGGCAGCCGCCAGCAGGGGTCGCAACTGCCCCTACTTCCAGGCCATGTGGAGAAGTGAGCCCGTGCGAACAGGACACTCCCAACCCACCTGAGCCTATGGCAGAGGTTGCACGCCCATGCCTAGATAGCTATCCAGAGACTGCTTGCGTTAGCGTCTGTTTAGGCAAGTCCCCCACAGGTGTGGCAGAAGAGTTAAAGGAGAGGATGCGAGCCTGGGCCAAAATGAAAAAGGGGAGCAAGAAACAACTGATTTTGGTAGATGTAGAGGTGTTCAGAAGTAGAGTAGGGGCCCTTATAGACTCAGGGGCTACCCGTAGTTACATTAGCCGTAGGGCGCTGAAAACGCCGAGGCTATGACTAAAGGTCCAGAAACTAGTAGACCCCATAGTTAGTGTCCTCGCAGACAACCGCACGATGCGCGTTGAGGACTACGTAGAGGGAGCCCAGTCGTACTTTCGCCTAGAGAAGAATGGAAAACTGGAGAAGGTCCTCCATTCTTTGACTCTCCTCGTGCAGGATGACCTTCCTTTCGATATAGTGTTAGRAATGGATTGGGGAGAGRCAGMAGGGGCCACACTTCATTTGAGAGAGCATGAGTGTAGGCTCCCTAGTCCGTCAGGCGAGGTTAAGACTGCCCGCTTGTTCCATGTGTCTGGTGTAGATAACACCTTAACACATTGTTGTCTCAGTGCTCCTGCATTCGCGCGATTAGTAAAGAAGGAGCAGTTAGAAGACCAGGTCTTTGTAGTATATGTCAGACCTGTCACTGAGGCCCAGGAAAAGGATAGTTCCACAGATCCAACAATTGCCAAGCTGCTGGAAGAATTCAAAGACTTGACTGAGTCGCCGACAGGAGTAGTGTCGCGACCCATCCAGCACAAGATAGAGATAGAGCCTGGTAGTAGAACTTCTAAGGGTGCAGTCTACAGGATGTCCCCTGGAGAGGTAGAGGAGCTCCGCAAGCAGTTAGACAAACTCCTTGAAAAAGGTTGGATCAGGCCCAGTTCGTCTCCTTTTGGAGCACCCGTTTTGTTTGTCCCCAAGAAGAAAGGAGAGTTTCGTATGTGTATAGACTATAGGGGTTTGAACGCGATCACAGTGAAGAATGTTGAGCCGCTGCCCAGGATAGACGATCTTTTAGATCGAGTGCAKGGTTGTAAGTATTTCTCTAAGATAGACTTAAAGTCCGGATACCATCAGATAGAAGTCCATCCTSATGATCAGTACAAGACTGCATTCCAGACTAGATATGGGCATTATGAGTTTATAGTGATGCCCTTTGGACWKACCAACGYGCCAGCTACTTTTCAGYGTTGCATGAATGACCTGTTTAGACCGTGGTTARATAAATTTGTGGTAGTCTACTYAGATGAYATCCTAGTCTTTAGTAAGACCCTCCAGGAGCACCAGGGTCATCTGAGGCAGGTCTTGGAGAAGCTTAGAGAGGCTAACTTYAAGATCAACGCGAAGAAGTGCGAGTGGGCCAAGACGCAAGTCTTATACTTGGGCCACGTGTTGGACGGAGATGGCATTAAGCTAGAGGACAGCAAGATCGCGACGATAAGAGATTGGCTGACGCCCCGCACATTGACAGAGTTGCGGTCGTTCATAGGCTTAGCTAACTACTATAGGAAGTTTGTGAGGAACTTCTCCACTATCGCCGCTCCCTTGCGCCAGTTGTTGAAGAAAGAGGCAATCTGGCGATGGGACAAAGACTGTACGGTTGCGCTCAAGAAGCTAAAGCGCGCGTTAATAGAGTATCCTGTCCTCAAAGTTGCAGATCCATCCTTGCCATTTGTCGTCACCACGGACGCGAGTCAGTATGGGATAGGCGCCGTGTTGCAGCAAGATGACGGCAATGGCTATAGACCCGTAGAGTTCATGTCGGCGAGGATGCTCTGTGAAAAGGTTGCTCCCTCCACGTACGAGAGGGAACTCTACGCTCTCAGGCAAGCTTTAGATCATTGGAAGCACTACCTGCTTGGGAGGCACTTCAAAGTGTATTTGGACCACGAAATGCTTAAATGGTTAAAGACTCAGGCCAAGATGACACCTAAGTTGACTAGGTCGGCCGCATAGATAGACCAATTCGACTTTGAGCTCAAGCAAGTGAAGGGCAAGTACAACGTAGTTGCGGATGCTTTGAGTAGGAGATCAGACTACTTTGGAGTTGTAGTACACTATCTAGATATAGGGAAATACCTGCAGGAGAAAGTGAGGGAAGCATATGCGCAGGACCCTATCTATAGCGACCTCCTAAAGAGAGTTCGAGAGGCCCTACAGACTAAACCAGATTACCGCTCAACAGACGGGTTGTTGTTTGAGAAGACTCATGTGTTTGACCACCTGTGCGTTCCCAACAGCGAAGACATCCGCAGTTTGATTTTAGGGGAATGCCACGATACTGAAGGGCATTTCGGTTGGCAAAAGACATTAGCCAGCCTGATGCGTGCATATACCTCGCGAGGAATGAAGAATGACTACATAGAGTATGTTCGCAGTTGTAAAGTGTGCCAGAGAAATAAGTCTACTACACACGCGCCCCTAGGTCTTCTCAGACCCTTGCCTATTCTGGATCAGCCGGGAGACTCCGTGTCCATTGACTTCATGGACACCCAAGTCAAGAGTAGACATGGTAAGAGCCAAGTCATGGTCGAAGTGGACCGTTTTGGTAAGTATGCAATTTTTGTTCCTTTGCGTGCAGAGGCACGTACAAATTTAGTAATACATAAGTTCTTTGACTTTTGGGTTAGTGAGAATGGAATCCCATTGTCAATWGTTAGTGATAGAGATAGTCGTTTCACCAGCCAGAACTGGCAAGAACTCATGAGAGTCTACGGATCTAAGTTGTTAATGTYGTCWGGCCGTCACCCAGAGACTAACGGTCAGACAGAACAGATGAACAAGATCCTACAGCAAGTTCTGCGCATGTATATTAGACCAGATCAGATCAACTGGGATGAGATGTTGCCCAAGGTCGTTAGTGCGTACAACAACAGCGTGCATCTATCCACCTGCCGCACTCCCAATGAGTTGCACAAGTCCTTTAGACCGCGCAGACCGTTCGAAGGACTGAACCGGGATCAGATTCGCAGATTACCGCCCGACACCAGGGAGTTTTCGATACAGCACGAAAAGGAGCTAGCCACTGTTGTTGAGAACCTTCGGAAGGCCCAGCACAGAATGCTAGAGCAGGCTAACAAGCACCGCCGCCCATCACAGTTTCAAGTAGGCGACTTAGTCTGGGTCAAAGCAAAAGAGTTTGCACCGGAAGAAAACATCTCGCAGAAGTTACTGCCTGCATATAGAGGACCGTGGCCGGTTCTAGAAGTCAAGGGCGGAGAGGATGGACCATCCTACAACATTGAGATTCCAGCACACCTCCACACATACCCTGTGTTTCATGCTTCAAAGCTGCTGCCGTGTGTCACAAGTGAACAGTTCCCTTCTAGGAGATCCATGATCCCACCGGATATGGATGGAAGCTATGACATAGAGGGCATTGTAGAAGAGGATGTGTTTAGGACAGGAGGTAGAGGTCGTCCCCAGAAACAGTATAAAGTCCGGTTTGCCTATCAGGAACCGGAAGACGACCGCTGGTTCACGAAAGCAGAACTTCTAGAGACTGCTCCCGACATAATCAGAGCCTATGAGCGTGACAAGAAAGGTAAAGGTCCCGCCTTGGACTTAAATTTTCTCGGAGGACCTCGAATTTAGGACGGCGGGAGTGAAACGGTTTTCACCTTTTAGCAGTAGCGGATGCAGTACCCAGGGTTCGATCCCTAGACCTCACCCTACCCATGTACAGTATCTGTGTACACCCCGAGAATTGAACCTGTGACCTGTGTATTCGTAGGCAGTTGGTAGGCCTGTCGTTGGTCCATAGGCAGCAGGGGTTCGATCTTTAGGTCTATAGCGTAGGAGTCTTAGTGAGTTTCGGAAGCTTAGCTGTAGACCCTCTAGAAGGAAGGCAAGTGGGCAAGTGGTCAAGTGGAGAGGCAAGTGGTGGACTAAACCGTTGTACAACATCTGTAGGATAGCGGTAAGTCCACAGTCAGTCAGCGGAAGGTCCAGTCAGTCCCAGTCCGGTCCAGCAAGTACCACAGGGGGACTGTGAGCACCAAGGGCCGATGGCAAAGGGCAGACCAACGAGTTTCTGAAGTATAAATCAAGAGGCAGCGCCCAGCCGTTCATTGATTCCTGCGTGAGCCATGCAGAAGCGCTGCCACAGGGACTTGTGCAAGGAGGTCTGCAGATGAGCCCGGAGGACGCAGTGGGCTGGAGAGAGGGAGTTAGCATAGCCATAGGTTAGATGCAGCGACAGCTGCCATAGCTGTAGTTAGTAGTGAGTGTGTGTGTGTGCTCGAGTGTTAGAGTGATGCGCGTGGGATATCAAGGGTGATCCAGTGTATGTGAACAGTGAGATGTTTGGGCGCTGAAGTCGCCATAGCCATTTGAGAGTGAACTCGTGTCTGAGAGCCATATCTCTGAGTTTTGAGTGGGCGCATGTCGCCAGTATGCTGCGTTGCTGTTTACATGCATGAAGAGTGTGTTTGAGAACGAGTCTGATTGCACCTGTGCAGACACATGGGAAACGGTTGTGTTTTTATTTTTATTTTTATTTTTATTTTTATTTATTTATTCGTTTTTCGGTTGCGTTCTTGTGGACGGGTGACGTGGACGGGTCACGATTAACTTGTCAATCTACTCAAAAAAGGGGAAAGAAAAAAAAAGAGGTGACTAATTAATCTGTTTTGTTTTTTACTTTTTCCCCTTTTTTAATCCCGTCACCGGGGCCAAGTCCCACTAGCAGCGTTGAGCTACATCAACGCCTGAATCTGGACGTGTTTGTGGAGACGTGCAGTTCAGGAAACTCAACACCGTTTCTGCACCTCACCGCAAAAGCGTCCAGATTCAGGCGTTGACGTAGCTTAACGCTGCTAGTGGGACTTGGCCCCCGGTCACGGATTCTCGTCGATATTCCGCCGAAATTTGGTGCTTCGAAACTTTTTTTTTCTCTTTTTTTCTCTTTTTTCCTCGTTTTGTATTTTATTATTTTTTAAAAGGAGGTAGCCACAAACATTTCATTAGCACTCAATCTCAGTATATCTGTTTCTCTAAATACATGCATGTGTGTACCGCTGCGCCACAAGGACTCTCTGCCTGCTGTCCTTGTATCTTCTGCAGTTCTATTCTAATGAAGTTTTTCTATATTTTCATTCGCTGGTTTGGATTTTTTTTCTCTTCAATTTACTTCCAATGACACAGGGGTCGGAGGCGCAGATCCTCCTTAAAAAAAAAAAAA